TATTAGATTTAGGGTGAGAGGGGAAATAAATAAAAACTACCGGAGGGGTAACTTCTTCACACAGAGGGTACTGCGTGTACAGAATGAGCTGCCAAAGGAACTGGTGGAGGTAGATACAATCACAACATTTAAAAGGCATCTGGATGGGTACATGAATAGGAAGGGTTTAGAGGGATATGGACTAAATACCAGCACGTGGGACTAGGTCAGATTGGGATGTCTAGTCGGCGTGAACGAGTTGGACCGAAGGGTCTGTTTCTGTGTTGTATGACTCTATGGCTATAAATGTATGTTCGTCCTGTCAATCATAAGAAAACACCATTATTCAAACTTGTTCCAGAAAATCCACCAACTGAAACTGCTCCACTACACACCTTGCTCAGTTAAAGCTGCAATTCAATGATCCCATCATATCAATTCAGGTCAGAGTTGGATGGGATCCAGCCATAGCTGCACTGGTAGTTAAGCTTTTCTCCTTTGCAGCTGGAATTTTTCAAAAGCATATTTTGTAGGAGTCTTTGTCCAGTAAACCCTAATCACTCATATCAAAATAATATCGAACCTTTGAGCTGCACCACCTCCTCGAACCATTGGAGTCTGTGCCCAGACAGCGACGTGTCTTGCTTTTCCTACCTGGCTTCCTATGCTGGCACTTTCTCTGCATTGCCTCAACATGTTTTAATATTCTATTAAACACTCTTAAAGGGACATTACCAAGGTTCGATCACTGGATGGATACACCATTATCAGGAGAGAATAAGTCACACAGACCCCCAGAACACCAGATGCAATGCCTACCTACTCTACACTGTTATTGAATCTCAGCTGGATGCTCAAATTAGCCTCAGTGTCCCAGACTAGATAGGGTCAAAAACAAAATCTAAAGCAGAGCTCTGTTCCTGATCAGTGCCCAGTGACTTCTGCTGAAACAACATACACATGAACTGTTGGGCGTGACTTCCAACCACCCCAGCCCTTTCCCTTCCCACTACCACATCATACAGCCTTACAAAGAAGGGGCCATTCAGTCCATCATGCCTGTGTTGGCTCATTCACAGCGCTATTACCCCCACTACCCTATCCAAACCTCTACAAATCATTGGTCAGACCACATTTGCAGTGGTGTGTTTAGTTCTTATGTAGGGAAGGATGTTAAAGCCCCAGAGAGAGCTCAAAGGAGATTTACTAGGAATGAAGGATATAAGGAAAGATTAGAGAAATTGGGATTATTCTCCTTGGAGCAGAGAAGACAAAGGGGTAACTTCATTGAAGTGTTCAAAATAATGAATAATTTTGACATAAAGAAGGATATTCTGTTTCCACTAGCTGGTATGTCAGTAACTGGACGCCACAATTTCAAGATCGTCAGCAAGAAAGCTAAGAGTAAGTTGAGGAGAAACTTCTTTACTCAGAGAGTTGTTAGGATTTGGAATGCACTGCCTGGTAGAGTGGTGGAGGTGGATTCCATGCAAGGTTTCAAAACAGAGCAGGATATATATTTAACAATAATAAATTTAGAGGTCTGGAGTGTGGAACTAGCTGGGTAACTCTTTTGGGAGCTGGTACAGACACGAAGAGACAAATGGCTTCCTTCTGTACTGTAAAATTCTATGATTCTATCTTTTCCCCATAGGCCCTGCAAATATTTTTTCCCTTCCCAAGTTTCTCTCTAATTTTGTTCTGATAGGTAAAATCACTAAAGACTCATTGATATCACTGGATATGTTTATGCAGAGTTTGGGAAATGGTTCACAGTAGGACCTCTGACCTTACCTCCATATGGACAATGGATATCGGAGGGCACTACCACTGTACGGCAGTATTGTCCAAGTATTTTATCAGTATGTGCTCACATAACCTTGAAACATTAAATGTCAGGATAGCAAGTTCAAATCCCTATTTTTCTTGTTGGTCGTTGATTCTAATGGATTCTAATAGTTTAAGATTCATCTGTAAGTGCAGCAATAACATTCTCCAAACCTCAAGTCTCACAAAATTCAAACAGATTAAACTGGAACTTAATACAGCCCTTCTAATGTGACAAAATGATCTGACACATTAAGATAATCAGCTGAAATTTGACACTGAGCCACAAGGAGATGGTTAAAGAGTTGGACTATAAGGTGCACTTTGATGAAGGTTAGATAAATGCAGAAGGTCAGGGATGAGCTTTCAGTGCGTCGGATCCATACTGCAAAAGTACTACCACCAACTGTGAGGCGATAAAAACCGGGCGCTGTGCAGGTCTGATTTGAAGAAGTGGAGAAGTGGACAAGCCATGGCAAGGGTGGGAATTGTATAACCAACAAATAAACAGTTTAAGTATTAATCAGACTGAGTTTTCTGAATTTCAAGAAGTGGGCCACTAGGAGAAAGGGTAATTCACAACCACAGGGCACAGATTGAACACTCCTCATCAAATCTAGACCTTCAAGTCTTGGGTATCTGAAAAGACTGTCATGACAAATTAGTCACGACCCCTCAAAAGATGGTGTGCTATACAAAGAACCTATTCACAGAATGGTTACACAATGGAAAGAAGCGATTGGGTCCATTTTATCTGCGCTGGCCCTCTCAAGGAGCAATTTAATCCTCACCTTCTCCCCATAACCCTGCCCATACTTTCTTTTCAGGTAAAAATCTAATGCCCTCTGGAAAGTCTCGATTGAAACTGCCTCTATTGCACACTCAGGCCACACATTCCATACTCTAACTACTCATTGCACAAAAACATTTCTTCTCAAGTCTCCATTGATCCTGTTACCATTTACCTTAAATCTGAGCCCTTTGGTTCTTGACAATTTCACTGATGGGAACAGTCTTTCTCTATCTTCTCTGACTGGAATCCTCATGATTCAGTGTGTCTGCATAAAATCTCCTTTCCTCCTTCTCTGCTCCAAGGAAAACAGACCCAACTTCTCCAATAAACCAACAAAGCTGAAGTTCTTCATATCTGGAACCCTTCTTGTGAATCTTTTCTGCACCGTGTTGCATACCTTCACATCCATCCTACAGTGTGGCACCCAGAACAGGATGCGATATTTGAGTTGAGGCCCAGCCAATGTTCCAACTTTTCCTGCCACTATCAATGATTTATGCATATATACATCAAGGTCTCTCTATTCCTTTTAGTGGTATCTCTTTGGTTTATATTGTCTCTCTGCATTCTTCCTACCAAAATGAGTTACTTCACACTTTTCTGTTAAACTTCATCCACCATTTAGTTGTCCTTTCCACCAGCCCATGCCCATAGCTTGACTCGATCCCACTAATGGTTCATAGTGAGACGATCAGAAACTGGACATTATGTAAAGTTGTTCCAGATGGCACATTAACCCTGAGACTCTCTTCCACTTTCAAGGCAAATGTCACAAAAAATCAGTTTTTACATCCTTCCTCATCATTTGATGGAAAGGAAGTTATATCCAAAATGCCACTGGATGCATGGGCAGTAGCTACAAACTGATAAAGAATTACATAAGAACATAAGAACTAGGAGCAGGAGTAGGCCATCAGGCCCCTCGAGCCTGCCCTGCCATTTAGTAAGTTCATGGCTGATCTTTTTGAGACTCAGCTCCACTTACCCGTCCACTCACCATAACCATTAATTCCTTTACTGTTCAAAAATCTAGCTATCCTTGCCTTAAACACATTCAATGAGGTAGCCTCAACTGCTTCACTGGGCAGGGAATTCCACAGATTCACAACCCTTTGGGTGAAGAAGTTCCTCCTCAACTCAGTCTTAAATCTGCTCCCCCTTATTTTGAGGCTATGCCCCCTAGTTCTCATTTCACCGGCCAGTGGAAACAACCTCCCTGCTTCTGTCTTATCTATTCCCTTCCATAATTTTATATGTTTCTATAAGATCCCCCTTCATTCTTCTAAATTCAAATAAGTATAGTATCAGTCTACCCACTCTCTCCTCGTAGGCCAACCCTCTCAACTCTGAAGTCAACCTAGTGAACCTCCTCTGCACCCCCTCCAGTGTCAATACGTCCTTTCTCAAGTAAGGAGACCAAAAAGGAGACCAAAACTGTACACAGTACTCTCGGTGTGTCCTCACCAGCACCCTATACAGACGCAACGTAACATCCCTGTTTTTTCAACTCCACATCCCTCTACCAATGAAGGACAATATTCCATTTGCCTTCTTAATTACCTGGTGCACCTGCAAACCAATTTTTTTGGCATTCATGCACAAGAACACCCAGATCATTGAGATGTGAACTTCTGAATCTAAATCTTAACAGGAATTTAAAAAAAATCCCCTTATCTGAATGTTTACCCAACTGGATCATGCCAAGGGGGTTACAATGGTCAAAATTCCAGTCTCAATTCTGCAGCGGGGAGTAATGTTTCAATTTAAATCTCGATCTGAGTCACAGTTTTTGGTTTTAAAACTCCCATTGGCCCCAGAAACCCAAAAGCAACATCTGTAATGCCAGGGGTATTTGCCCGGTCGCTGTTGACGATCAGAGCTTAGGGAGATAGGGTCAGAACAGCAGCGTGTGATCAGGGAAATGCGGATATCGGGTTATTTTCGGAGTTGGTGCAGGACGGCCTCTGAGTCTGGACGGAGTTACTCAACTCCAAGTAAACATACATTGGCACTTCACACACAGCTCCCAGCTAGCAACCAGCTCTCAGATCCAATCCCTATCAGCACAGCAGTCATCTGCATTTCAGTTCAATAAAACTTACAACAACATAAGCATTTGTTTGCACCAATCAGTCCAGCGCGTCCTTTCGATCAATAAATAAGCAGATAAGGGAGCAAACCCACAATCTGTCAGAAATGGGGGAACCGAGTAAACCACTTATATAAAAGAAAAGAAACAACAGCAAGCAAAAGAAAGAAAACCCGCAATATTAAGATTTATGCGAAACCTGTTCTCTGCGGATGGAGAGGACTCAATGAAATGCACTCACTGATTAGTAAATCATTTTTTAAAAGTTCACAGTCACCGCAATTCTGACTAGCTTGAGGTCCCTGTTCTTACCGATTAGAATGGCCGCTAAAAGTCTACAAGGGGAGGTTTTCCTTGCTTCCACTCCACCGAAGTCCAAGGGCACTTTCTGAGCCCTCATTCTAGGAGAGTTCAATCAATACTTGCGGCTGAGAATCGCGGGATGTTGTGGAACTGAAGGGGCAGGAGATAATGGGGGGAGTGCTGCTTTGAAACGTCTGTTGTTAACCACAGACAGAAAGACAGAGAGACGGGGTGGGGAAACAGCAGTTCTCACTGTGTGGATGGTCAGTGAGGATCTGCGCTTCCCAGGGACTGGGACTCAGAGAGCGAAAGAGAGAAAGGGGAGGAACTGCGTCTGTGTTTGGTGTACAGTAACCTCCCACTTGTTCTGTCTCCCTGTCTCCGCACACATACATACATACACACTGCGTAAACCTGCTCCTGGAGCCGGGACAGCAGCGAGAAATCCCTTATCATTCCGTTCACTGCAAATTCTGCATTGCAGTCACAAAACTGCTTTCGTCATCACCCAAGAGGGACCAAGCAAAACACCAGTCTGCAAAGACACGGCGATGTATTACCAAAATAAACCTTACCATCAATAACTTTGGAAACGTTGATGGTCCCAGACCATTGCAAATCGTTCTTCCCCCCAAAAATTTATCAAAGTTTAACAACTTTCTGAACTTGGTCTCCTGACTGTTTAACTTTAAGATTGAAGGTGTTCAGAGAAACTGGCTTGAATTTTTTAGGTTGATTTGAAATACTATTGCAGTGATCAATAGGTTTCAGGACATCTTGGGAATGCTCATTCTTGGACCATTCTGACTTTGATGGGATCACATTACACACTTCAGCGTCTGCCTGAACTCGCCGCTAAAATAGAAAGCTCTGTTAAATGAACAGTTCCGGTAGCTCAGCTTCCCAATTCCGCGAACATGCCACAAGATAGGGAGCTGGGGTAGAGCTGCTCACCTTCCAGCTTCTCTCCTGTCTTGGAGGGAACCAGGTTCCTATTGGGTTCAGATTCCACAGCCTCCATTTGGCACACAAGCCCAGTCAGTTTCAATCCCTGGTCGTACAGCTTCACCCAATCCCATCCCCACCGTCCGGGCACCAAACTGGCGGTGGGGGGCAGTCAAAAGTAGGTGTTTGCACCCACTTTGTTCAATCCCCTCCCCGGCCTCTCGCCTCCCTGTCTCTCCTAACCTCTCCCACATGACACCCTCCAATCTGCACTCCTCCAATTCTGGCCACTTGCACATTCCCAATGATAGCCACTCCACAACTGGTTGTGGTACAGCCTGTCACCTAGGCCCCAAGGTTTGGAACTCCCTCCCTCAACTCCTCTGCCTCTGGACATCATTTTTCTCCTTTAAGATGCTTCTAAAACCAATATTTTTGTCACCGGCACTCTGACTGGCTCAGAGTCAGATTTACTGTAACAATGCTTATGTCAAGTACCTTGACACATTTCAGGTTAAAGGTGCTATGTAAGTATTTGTTGTGATTGTCACTTGACATTCCCTCTTGAAAATTCAGTCCACACTTTGGATCCCAATTGTTAACCTGTTCTTTAGGTTGACTGTGGAACTCATTGATGCAGAGGGCTGTGGAGGGCAAGACATTGAGTAACTTTAAGACAGAGATAGATAGGCTGTTGCTGACGAAGGGAATCAAGGGTTATGCGGAGAAGGCAGGAGAATGGGGTTGAGAAACATGTCAGCCATGATTTAATGGCAGACCAACTCAATGGGCTGAATGGCCTACATCTGCTCCTATATCTTAGGGAAACAAAACCACAGGGTAGAGACGGGGCCCTTTTTCAAATAAACAGCTCAGCAGGGGTGATGGCCACAACATTAGTCAGAGCGCTGAGCTAGGGGAGCAGTTATGGGTGTCTCATTGAGTTAAACCTCCTTCTGACAGGGTGGGGTGGGATACCAGGTGAGAGTAGATACCGTGAGTGAACTTTTAAAAAATACTCATTTGTATTTTCTTTGGGGAGCAGAGATGTCTTTCTGAGAAGACCACCCTTCCTCAGTCACACCCTGAGCCTCCTCTCCACTTCCTTCGACCTCCTTCTCAGCTCTACCACTAATTCTCCTGGCCACAACCCTGTACTGTCGTCTCCAGTTTGCAACCTGCCTCCCCTTCCCAGTGACATCCAAGCCATTTCCAAGATCAACCATGATCTTATTGAATCGCACAGCAGTCTTACACCACCTCTGTAATACCTGACCTCAATACATCAATCTGATGGCACACCGATGCAGGAGTTAGCAACAACAATCATTTTTTTAAAAAATAAAACTTCCCATTACTTCACAGTGTTATATTTTGTTTTATGTTGTTTCTAAGCCATATAAGATGATATTGGTTCAGATGAGCAAAGGTTTGGTCAAGGTGTTAAAAGGCGAATTCACCATAGCCCCGTTCTGTCATTAGAGAGAGATGACTGGTGATGGTTTAACTGAAGGATCCCCTTACCTCAGGCAAGAGGTTGAGGAGGGAAGTCCTTCAACCTCAGCTGCTGCAGATCTGAACCCACATGATTAGCATTGCAAAATAACCAACTGAGCTAACTGAGCCCAAGTTAGGTATTAAGGAGTGTCTTAAAGGAGGGAGAGAGGAAGCTTACTCTAGTCAAGAGGAAGAAGGAAGCTTACTTAAGGTTAAGGAATCAAGGATTGGACAGGGCTCTAGAGGGCTACAACGTAGCCAGGAAGGAACTGAAAAAAGGTGTTCTATACTTAGGTGAGGAACAAGAGGATGGCCAGAGTGAGGATAGGGCCGATCAGGGATAGTGGAGGGAACTTGTGCGTGGAGTCGGAGGAGGTAGGGAAGGTCCTTAATGAATACTTTACTTCAGTATTCACCAGCGAGAGGGACCTTGACATTTGAGAGGAAAGTGTGAAACAGGCAGATATGCTTGAACAGGTTGATGTTAGAAAGGAGGATGTGCTCGAAATTTTGAAAAACATGAGGATATATAAGTCCCCTGGGCCAGACAGGATATCCCCAAGGTTACTATGGGAAGTGAGGGAAGAGATTGCTGCCCCTTTGGCGATGATCTTTGCGTCCTCACTGACAACTGGAGTAGTACCAGATGATTGGAGGGTGGCAAATGTCATTCCCTTGTTCAAGAAAGGGAATAGGGATAATCCTGAGAACTATAGACCAGTCAGTCTTACTTCTGTGGTGGGCAAATTATTGGAGAGGATTCTGAAAGATAATATTTATGATTATTTGGAAAAGCACAGTTTGATTAGAAATAGTCAGCATGGCTTTGAGAGGGGCAGGTCATGCCTCACAAGCCTTGTTGAATCCTTTGAAGATGTGACAAAACACACTGATGAAGGCAGAGCAGTGGATGTGGTGTATATGGATTTTAGCAAGGCATTTGATAAGGTTCCCCATGGCAGGCTCATTCAAAAAGTAAGGAGGCATGGGATTCAGGGAAATTTGCCTGTCTGGATACAGAATTGGCTGTCCAATAGAATACAGAGGATGGTAATAGATGGAAAGTATTCAGCCTGGAGCTCGGTGACCAGTGGTGTTCCACAGGGATCTGTTCTGGGGCCTCTGCTCTTCGTGATCTTTATAAATGACTTGGATGAGGAAGTGGAAGGGTGGGTTAGTAAGTTTGCCAATGACATGAAGGTTGGAGGAGTTGTGGATAGTGTGGAGGACTGTTATAGGTTGCAATGAGACATTGACAGGATGCAGAGCTGGGCAAAGAAGTGGCAGATACAATTCAACCCAGAGAAGTGTGAAGTGATTCATTTTGGAAGGTCAAATTTGAATGCAGAATACAGGGTTAATGGCAGGATTCTTGGCAATGTGGAGGAACAGAGAGATCGTGGGGTCTATGTCCATAGATCTCTTAAGTTGTCACCTAAGTTGATTGGGTTGTTAAGAAGGCATATGGTGTGTTGGCTTTCATTGGCAGGGGGATTGAGTTTAAGAGCCACGAGGTTATGCTGCAGCTCTATAAAGCCCTGGTTAGACCACACTTGGAAAATTGTGTTCAGTTCTGGTTGCGTCATTATAGGAAGGATGTGGAAGCTTTAGAGAGGGTGCAGAGGAGATTTACCAGGATGCTGCCAGGAGGGCAGGTCTTACAAGGAAAGGTTGAGGGAGCTAGGGCTTTTCTCATTGGAGCGAAGAAGGATGAGAGGTGACTTGATAGAGGTGTACAAGATGATGAGAGGCATAGATAGAGTGGATAGCCAGAGACTTTTTCCCAGGGTGGAAATGACTATCATGAGGAGGCATAATTTTAAGGTGATTGGAGGAAGGTATAGGGGAGATGTCAGAAGTAGGTTCTTTACACAGAGAGTGGTGGGTGCATGGAATGCGCTGCTGGCAGTGGTAGGGGAGACAGATACTTTAGACACTTTTAAGCGACTCTTGGATAGGCACATGGATGATAGTATAATGTAGGCGGCGCAGGGTAGTTTGATCTTACAGTAGGATAATAGGTCAGCACAACGTCGTGGGCCGAAGGGCCTGTACTGTGCTGTACTGTTCTACGTTCTATGTTCTAGAGGTGTAGGGGGATAGTCTAGAGCTTGGGATCGAGAGAATTAAAGGAATGGTCACCGATGTTGGAACAAGAAGGCAGATCACCACCACCTTGCCAAAGACACCTAGGGATGAGCAAGAAATGCTGGCCAGCCAGCAACGCCCACATCCCATAAATGAATAGAAAAAAAACTAAAATCAGTGAAGCTCATTAGGACAAACCTTGAGGAGTGCAGACAACTTGGAGGTTGTGGAGCCGGAGACGATTACAGACATGGGGGAGACTGTGTGACCATGAAGCGATTTGAAAGCAAGGATGAGAATTTTAAAATCATGAATTGCTTGACTGGGAGATAATGTAGGGCAATGGGCACAGAGGTAATAGTAGAATGGAATTTGGTGCCAATTAAGACATGTCCAAGAATACATGAACATTCCAGTGCTTTAAATACACACTAGCCAAATGTTGTGCAAATTAACCTATTTCCAGCTCAATATAACATTGAATTTCAGCCTGGCTTTGTGACAATGTTAGTTGATGTGTAGAGGCTCCATTTTAAACATTATGATCCACAAGCAGTCATATAGTGTGTAGAGTGACGTGAG